AAACTTTTATTTATTAACTTTTATTTAATTTAAATTTGAACTGATTTATTTTTATACGGTTTTTTTAATGCAAATATATGTATACCAATGTTGTGTTATGGTTATTTTAGTAAAATGAGTTATCATGGAAATGTCGACTTTTATTTTTAATAAACTTAAAAAAATAATGTGTTGCACCTAGGGACTACGAAAGTATAAATGCGGCCCTGGTCCCGTAGATTTTCATACAAGTTCTGCCAGTGCGTTCTTACAGCTCAAAGTAAGACTAAAATGTCGTATAGGAAAAGATTCATAAATGTTTTATTTTCCATATTATGAAAGGACCAATGTTTGCATGATTTTACTTAAAAGTGTAATTACACTCTGTCTAAATGAAATTAAGTCACATGCGTGACTTCTTTTCAAGCATTTTTTTAAATCAATGTTTTTTCTTCGACTAAAAATAAGAATGTCATTTTTTGCACAATATTCTTATTTAAAATCATAGAATTTTTTGTATTTCATGTTCAGTAATTTTTGATTGCTTATTACAGAACGAGATGCGTTTGCAGCGATAGTGACGTTTCTAGTTAGCGTAATTTGTGGCGTTGAATTAGGACTTCTAGTTGGTGCCCTGTTTAATTTGATCTTTTTCATACGACCAGGGGCTAGACCACAAATCAAAGTGATTCAGTGTAAGGTAAAAGGTAGTACATATGTACATATTATATTATCATGTGTACACAGTGTTATCTAGTATTAACGATATCTTTAAGCATGCTCTTCTACTCCATAAATTATTGTCAACTGTATTTGAAATTTAAAAATTATTGTCGAAATTTAACATAAATAATTTCTTCATTTCTCGTTCAATTATAGATTTCGAATTTTCAAAATGAAGAAAGTTCGTAAAATTAATGAATAATAATAACTTCTTTAAATATTGTTTCAATTTCTTTAATTATAGTATTCAATATAAACATTAATAACGTAAAAAAATTTTACGAAAAAGTGAATATTTCAATTTAGTGAACT